GTTTGGAGTAATTATGTTGCTAGGAAAGTTTTTGTACATCTGGTTCAGGGCAATGGTTCTCACAGTGTGGTCAACCTCAAGACCCTGGGACCTTTTCAAGGAACTTATCATTGAAGTTAAAATTATTTTCTCCTATGATAATAATGAGATATAATGTACCCTTTTCACTCTGGATATTTGCACTGATGGTACAAAAGCAATGATGGGTAAAACCGTGGCTACTTTAGCATGAATCAAGTCAATGGCTCCAAATAGTACATGAAGTCATTTTTCTGGCCAATCTGTTAAGTACGTACTGTCTCGTTTGAGTTTTAATTGGTATATCTCTGATTACTACAAGAGTGAATTCCTTTTCACCTGTTTATAGGCCATTTGCATGTCCTCTTTTGTAAAATGTCAGTTCAAATCCTTTCCCCATTTTTAATCGGATGATTTGTCTTTTTCATGTCGGTTGTTAGGTGTTCTTTACATCACATGTTCTTTAAGGCAGTTATATGTGAAGAAAATAGGTTTTCTCTAATTTTTGTATGTTGTCGTTTTTACTCTTTTAATGGTGTCTTTTGTTGAAAAGAAGTTTTAAATTTTAATATGGTCAAATTCATCACTCTTTTTCTTTGCTTTGAGCTTCTGTGTAACTGTGCTAACTAGAATATCAAGTGCAATGGTGAAATGAAATTGTACTAGCAACATCCTTACCTTGTTTCTGACCTCAAAAAAGAAAGCTTTTCAATCCTTTACCATTACATTTTTGTCTTATTTCCCTTAAAAAAAAAACCCAAAAAACAAAAAACTTTGATTATGGTTAAAAGAATTAGTTCAATTATTTTACCTTTAAGTTTGTAAAGTTTTGCTGTAGAACTTTTCCAATACCCTTAATCATAAGGTTAGAGAAGTCCTTCTAGAGCTAGTTTTTCTCATAAACGAATGTTAACCTTTATAAAACAACTTCTCTGCATCTGTTGAGATGATAGTGGATTTTTGCTTTAATCTATTAATGTTGAAGACTGTACTATTTTTCTATTTTTAAATGACCTCTCGTTTCTGAAATAAACTCAGCTGGTGATGATGATATACTATCTTTTTCATATATATTGCTGGATTCGGTTCACTAATATTTTTTTGATTTTGCATCTATGTTCACGATGAAGATTGATCTATACTTTTTCTGTCTTCCTATGCCATCTCTGGTGTTGGTATTAGATGGGTCCAACTATAAAAGACACACTTAAATTGTCAAACTTTTAAATGCTTCTTGCTGGTCTATGGAAAATGCATTCAGGAGAGTTTCCTCTTCTATAGTCTGGAAACATTTCCAAAAATTTAGCATTATTTATTCCTTGAAAGATCGGAACTCACAGTGAAGTCGTGCGGGCCGGGGATTTTCTTCACAATAAGATTTTTTTTTTTTTTTTTACTACTGTTTCTATTTCTCTGATAGGACTGTTTAGATATTCTATCATTCCTTAATCTCTTTTTAGTAATATTTTTCTAGTAATTTGTCCATTTTATCTAAAGTTTCTAATTTATTGGTCTAGAGTTGTTCATAATTTCTATCATCTTATTATCTACAGTATTTGTATTTATGTATTTTTTTTATTTCTGGAATTACTTGTGCCTTCTTTTTTCTTGATCATTTTACCAGTTGAATTTTACTCTTTTCAAAGTCCCAAATTTTGGCTTGTTGGGCAATGTGAAATCGGCCCAGGAATTCACATGAGAACTGATTTGTGATTTCCAGAGTTTTTTTTTCCCTGCTCTGCTTGGCTCTAAACCAATCTCCCTAGCAGTCCCTCTAAAAATCGCCGGTCACTTATTTTATAGAATGTCTCTCAATTTTATTTTGTCTGATGTTTTCTTATGATTAGGTGCAGGTTGTACATCTTTGATGGAGTATCACAGAAATGCTTATGCTCTTCCTATTGCGTCTTATCAGATGATGCATGACTGAATTGTCCTTCATTTTGATCACTTAATCAAGACGGTGTCTACCAGGCTTATTCACTACAAAGTTATTCTTTCTTTTTCCCTTGTAATTAGTATTTTGCAGAGGGAAATATCTGAGTCTATGTAAGTATACCATTCCTCATCTAAACTCTGATTACTTACTTTTATCAGTATAAACTCATATATTCAATGGCTTAAAATCCATCGCAATTATTTTAATGTTCAGATCGTCCCAGATTTGGCCAGTTGGAATCCCTTCAAATTAGCTTCTGTGTCCTTTTGATATAATGTAATCATTCCTTGAGGAGTTCTTTGCTTTCTGGTACAAGATGTCCCAGCCCTAGAATCAGCTATTTTTCCAAGAAGCCCTGTGGTTTTTTATTTTGTTGTCTTTATGGAGAATATTTAGAATTCAAGATCCAGGCACTAAGCATTTACTGCTATTGGGCTGCTACTGCACCCAAACCCTCAGTGGACAGAGCTTCTTCTATCCCTATTTATTTCTACATCTATATAGATCTCTTGAAACCATAAACATATGCTGGTATCTCCTATTCCAATTAACCACCACAAGTTCATTCTTGATTTCTTCCTTTCCATCCATGTAACGCCCTTCTCCAATAGTGAGAAACATGGCTCACCTTACCCTTAATATATTTACTTGATTAATCTCTCTGTACATAGTCAAAGCCCCATCACTGTCTCTTGCATATATGCCATGCCCTCCTCATCCTACTCAGGCTCTGAAACTGCACTGGGCTGCAATGGGCTGGCCCCTGCGTGGACGTCTTTATCACCCTGCTTAGGCTGCCTCTACAGCAATGACCTCCTCACCCTACTCGAGCTCCCATCTGACCATAGGTCTTCCTTCCTCTTATACAGATGCCCTCTTCATTGCATCAAAGTTGGGCTACTCATGTGTGGATGCTTTCATTCTGTTTGCGGTCTGATTCTCCTTGTGGGACATACACGGACGGACAGACACGGATGGACACACACACACACACTGGCTCTGACAACCCATGCCAAGCCACTTCCATCTTGTAAATGCCCTCCTCAGGCTGCTCAGACTGAACCTCCATATCAAATTGCCCCTGTGCATGGACTCCAACCTCACTTCCCTCTAGCTGACAACTCATATCAAATCTTTCTTGTGGGGATGCCTTTTTCATGCTCCAACCCCACACCAGGCTACCAGCCCACATGGACACTCTCCCTGTCTAGCTTGGGCTCCAACACCCCACAGCTGATTGCTCCTGCGTTCCTCTCACTGTGTTCAAGCTACATCCAAGCTGGGCTGCTACATCCTAAGCATGGCTTCCCTCATTTCACTTGAGCTCTGCCGTCCATATCAGGCAGCCTCAGCATGAATTCCTACCTTGCTCTGCTCCACATAATGGGTACTGAATTACCCAAGAAAGGAATGGGAGACGAAGAGCTCAGAAAACATTAACTACACCCAGAGGTACGTTTTCGCAAAATGTTTCAGTACCATAATGCAATGTATGAGTGTATTGGATCATGAAGTGAAATATGTTCTTACCTTGGGTCTAGCCAAGGATGTTGGGAAGCAACTGACCTAGAAAGGTTCTAGAATGATGGTATGGTAGCACCCCATTTGGTGCCTCACTGTCCTCTGGACTGCTGTCTCAGGAGAGACCTTGTCACCAGTGTGAACGCCCTATCTAAAAGGATATTGCTTCCATGACAACAGAGATACAAGTTTGGTGGGTTACTGGAAGTTACAGACCAAGTTCTAGCTCTTGCTCTGCCCCAACTACTCAATAGCCAAGTAATCCAGTTACTTTAAACATTAAAAACATAGATGATATGGGATATACTTCTTTCCCACGGCATAAAATCAGGCAGTACCTGAAAAGTGCTTAAAAACTGCAATAATTACAAGAATTGTTATTTAAGGAATGTATAAATCCTTTATATGAAATATAATTTTAAATCCTTAAATAATCCTATGAAATCCACATTTAATAGGCCAAAAAACCTGAAGCTTAAGGAGTTAAATAAATGAACCCAGTGTTTGAACTTTCTCATTAGACTCTACCCTCATAATCATTAAATGGTACTTTCAAAGTGCTGTATGAAAAGGTTTACTGAGTTAGAAATGAAAAAGCATCTTCGTTCTGCTAGAGTCTAAATTATTTATATGGAAAATTATATCTTTTTAGCATTTCCCCTTAAATATCATAATTCTTAAAAGTGTTGAGTCCTGTAGGTTTTTCCCTTCTATGAAAATATAGCTAAAATGCAAGACTTTAATACTAAATGGGGGAGACTCTGAAATGCCAATGGTGACAGCTGGTAGAGGGTCCTAGGGGGCAGTTATTTCCTTTTCTGTAAAATGGTGACCAGGTAAAGCCCTTGCATGTAGTAGGTGGATAAATATATTGAATGAACGAATGAGAGCCTGGTTAGGCCTAGAACACTGGCAGCTCAGTGAGGTGGGGCAGTTAGCCAGGAAGTGTCCCGCAGGTGGAGGGGCTGCCAAGAGGAGGGCAAATCTCAGAGCGGAATCAGCCTGGCATTTTCTGGGACTGTCCACAGATCTGCCTGGGACTAAATCTCTGCTGAGGAACCTGGAAAGCTTGTGCAGATTTACTTCTGGGCAGCTGAAAGGGCCAAGCAGGGGCAGAGACCAGGTGTGGGTGGGAATGAGCACAGTGTTCTTCATGAGACCATAAAAGTCTACCATGAATGTTCTATTTTTAAAGCCAAATGACAGCATTCTTTCTCTAGCCCCAAAAGTGAAAATCTCAGAGCAGCAGTGATTGTTTTGGCCAAGGACAAGGGAAGTGGGACAAGACGAATGAGCACAGGGAATGAGAAGCAGAAAGGGGAGTGTACATCTTCCACCCTGATGAGCACAATGCTGCCCCCTGCAGACATGCCAGGGGCATGACTTGAAACCTCACTGAGCTAGAGCTAGTTCCCTTTGCTTCTCCTCAGCAGACCAGTGCATGGGAAATTGAGGCTCTTATCCTCTCCAGGGATGGGGCTAGAGTGGACAAGAGCAGCTGCAGACAGTACAGGAGCCTAGATTCTAGGTCTGATAGCAGTTTTTATTCTCTAGGAACAAAGATACATGGAGAAGAAACTCCAAAAGGAAACAAGCACAGATGACAAAATGACACTAGGGTGGTATGGCTCAGGAGTCAGATGGATGGCACACTTCACAGTGGACCTGGTCATGCCCTGGTTTCCTGGTTCAATATCTGCCCCATCCCCAAGTGCCCATAGAGGTAGGGGTGGGGACAGTGGGATAGAAAGCTTTCTGTACCCTACACAAAGGATATGAACATACCTGTCTGTTCTGAGAGGCCTCCCAGGGACACCAGAACTTCCCTCTCAAGAATGGAGGTAAACAGATAAGAATGAGAAGGGCCTGGATGTCATAGACATCCAAAAAGAAGTCACAGAGCCCTCTGTGGCTGACAGAATCTGTGCCTTGACTCGACAACTTCTACTGCACCATGAACTCCAAAGAACAAATTCCTTTGGCGTAGGCCAGGTCGTTAGTCATCCAGTCCCTGAACGTCCCTGCAGAACACATCAAGAAGCTCATCCCTGTACTGCAGGGTGGCCTCTAGGGCTGGTTCCTGAGTCCAGATCACAGTGAGGTCTCCTGGAGTATGAAGGTGGGGCTGCTCCCCTGCTGGGCTAGGCCCTCTTCCGCCACTGCCATGGCCTCCTTGTCCCTGCTGCCCTTCAGCATCCCATTACTCATCTTCTCTGGAAATACTGCAGTGTCCATGGACAGGTCCTGGGGACACAGAGCAAAGGGAGAGGTGTGAGGTGAACAGGAAACAAAGGGGTGGGGAAGGAACTTAAGCAGAAAAGGTGAAAGACCTTGCTTTGAGCCTGGCTAGAAGGGAGACCAGAGCAAGGGGGAGAGGAGAGGGGAGGCCAGCACGCTGTGTGCTTCCCTGGGCTAAGAGCCTCTGCCTATGAAGCCAGCGCTTCCTTGTGGGAAGGAGCCTGGGCAGCTGCTAGAGAAAGGGATGCTGGGTGGGGGATGAAAGGAAGTCTGGAAGGTTCGGCGGTAGTCTGGAGAGGTTAAGGAAGGGGTCAATCTGGAAAACATAGGTGTTACCTGGCTGTAGCTTTTGCAGTGAAGTCGCTTCTGACAGGACAGGGGCAGGAGGGCCAGGAGTCTTGGCAAAACTGGGTAAATGGTCCGCGGGTTCAGGGTCCGGCCCCGCATCCCTCCTGAAGGTCAAGGTGCCTCTGGTTACCGTGTAACCAGTACATAACCAGCAAGCCCTCTGTTCTCGGGGTTTCCAGCCCCCAACCCTCTCCCACCTCCTGGAGCTCAGCCAAGAAACCGACTATTACAGACATGCAGGAGTCCAGAGTGCAGGGCCACTTCTCCCCGCAAAGTCCAGATTCCCTGAGCACCCTCCCTCAGCCCATCGTTTCTGTGTCCCCATCCCATATCTCCTTACCAGTGAACAGACTGACAATCAGACCCATCACAATGACTGTGGTGGAGTTGTGAGCGCTGTACCATAAGTACGACAGGGAATAGAGACGCTGCAGCCCTGCGGGCCTGGGGAGAGTAGAGGGTGAGGACAATTAGAAATTCACTAAGAGTATTCCTTGGCCACCTGGCTCTACCCACCTGCATGGTCCTCGGGTCTTGGAATCCAACATCCAACATTTCCCTCAGGCCTCTGGTGCCCATTCCTTAGCAAGGCCCCTGGGAAACCCCTCAAAAATGAGCTACTCTCCCCGAGGAGAAAGGGAATGAGGCCCAACTCACCTGGAGCGGGTGGTTGAGGGCATTAGTGTGTTCATGGTGGCAGTAGTCAGATTGCCGGGCAGGGAAAAGCTGGACCCGTTAAAGGGTGAGGGTGCCGTGCTGGAGCCCATGTTGGTCATCATGTTCCCAATGCCGATCCAGAAGGCCATGATGAGTCCAGCCAACAGGCCCACGATGGCGCCCTGGCCAGAGACACGGCACACGCTGCTATCACAATGCCAGCCCTACCAAACCTTCACACCAGTTCCCAGCACTCATGGTGAGAGCCCTGCCAAGCCATGCCCCAGGTTCTGCACATGACTGTGGAGTCAGACGAGTCACTCACAGGAGGGTTGGCACAAGGAAAAAATATCCCAAGGCAGAAGAGTCCAAGCAGTGGTCCCCCAACCATGCCAAAGATGCTGATTGCTGCCTGCAGAGAACAGGGTTGGAAAAAGAACACACAGGTTCAGAGACCCCCAGCCTCATCTGCATTGCCTCAAAGCCCTCTTGTCAGATGTTTGCCTGTCTCTTCTGTCCAGAACCATCAGAATGCAAGAATCCAGAGGGCAGGAATGGATATGGGAACATGTTTTGGGTTCTCTGAGGCTGATCCTTAGATCTCTCTGAGCCAACCATGTCCCAGGAAATGACCCTGGGACTTTTGGCTACTTGAGTCTGTTCACAGCTAAAGGTAGTCCATTAAAGAGCAATTTCTGACACCTGCTCCTATGTAGCTGTCTTCTCCAATTTCTGGTTTCAATATCTGTTTCTCCCCTAAAAATGGGTTTCTTCCCTCCATAGTCATTACCTGCAGCACGGGTCCCATCTGGGAGGAAATATAGGCCATTCCCAGACAAAGCAGCCCATAGCCAAAGGCTGGAGGAAAAGAAGGGAGGAAAGAGATGTGAGGTAACACACCAAAGAGGAGCAAAGCTCCTTCCTCAGCCAAACCACTACTTACGTCCCTAGACACAGGGCATGTTACTTCGTGCCCCAGCTCCAGGTCCCTCCCACCCTGTCCTTATTCCTAGGTGACTCAAAGACACCCCCCTCCCCAGGAAGTACACTGAGCTGTAAACAAGGTTGTGTGCTTCATTCAGCAAGTGCTGAGCCAAGGCTAAAGCTGGTGCTTTAAAGTGGACTGACAATGCTCAGGGTGTGTCTTAGAATGTGACTGAAGAGAAGAGGAAGCATAACCCCACCAAGGAGTCTGGAAATCATGATGGCCCGGCCTTCAGAGAACTGAGGGAACCAAGGTCGAATCAGGTCTTCCATCGTGACAGTTGCCAATGAATTGAAAGCAGAGGATACGGTGCTAAAAGGAGGAAGAGAAAGACACGCTGTCCCAAGAGAAGCCAAACAAGGGACTATTGAGTGAATAACGCCCTAAGGTAGGTGACGTGTGCAGCCAAGAAAGAGGCCTGGGAGGCAAGGACACTTGTCCTTTCCTGAGTGGGATATAGTTTTGTTCAGTAGACCAACTCCTAGTATTGTAAAAGAATCCTTCATCAAAAAAGGGGGCATCTGTCCCACATGGATAAGCTTTCCTTTGCCATCCACAGACGGATGGGCACGATGAGAAACTCAGAGGAATCCGCTCCTCTACCCATCACCCTGTACCAAATAGGGGTGAGCTACGCCAAGCCTGAGGGAAAGGATTGAAGAGGGTACCTGAGGGAGCCACTGAAGAGGCAGGCAACAAAGAGCCCAGGCAGGCCCGGCAGGCCTTTCAGAAGATCCATCACAAAATATAGGACGAACTGCAGGCAGAGCAGAAGTACACAGTTCTCCTGAGAGGGGAGCCCTTCCCCAGAGTGAGTCACGCAGGCAGCCTCGCTCCGCATGCCCCAGCCAGTCTGGTGCATCAGGAAGAGGGGCCAGGCACAGAGGGTGACCCCGCAGTAAGTGCAGAGAAAATGGGCTCTAGAAAGAGGATGCAGTTCATACGCTAGCTCTGAGCTGAGCATGCTGGCCACCTTGAACCTCTTTTCTCTGTAAAATGAGGTTGTTGGGAGGGTTAGATGAGACCCCAGGTGGGTAACAGCCTTCGGCAGGGTATGTGGTGCATAGCGGTGAGTCAATGAAGGTAAGTCCCCACCCAGCTGGGTAAGCATTGAGATCAGGTGATGCTGGGAGCTGGAATCCTCACATCTAGATCGCTAGAATCTCAGAGTGGAAAAGAACTTAAATCCACTTCCTGCCCAGGGTAGGAGTCCTTTCTGCAGCCACCCAAACGCTCCTCTTGAGGGATGGGCCCCTCCTGGGCAGTGGAGAGGGCCAGGGAGGCCTTCTCACCTGGTCAGGGGCTGCCTGACTCTGCTGGATGCTCATGGGATACTCTTTGTAGTAGGCGAACATGACCAAGCCAATGAGGCAGCCTATGCAGAGGACCACCTGCTGGCAAGGGAAGACCGCATAGCAGGAGCTGCAAAAGAGGCCAGGGTCAAGGGGAGAGGGGGATTAACAGATACCTCAATCATGTTCCTGAGCCCCAGAAAGGAGACTCATGGCCCGCCCCCACCCCACTGCTTCCATGGAACCAGGGGGCCCACTCTCTTCCCCCAGCCTTTGCCCCACCGGTCTTCCTGCTCCTGTACTCACAGTATAGCAGCCTTCTCCGTGCGGGAGCTGAGGTAGCGCTGCACCTGAGCCTGGTTCACCCCATACAAAGAGAGCATCATGAAGACGCCTCCGAAGGCCAAGGTCCAGAAAGTGTGCCGCACAAAAGGGTCTGGATCTAGCCTATAACAAATGCCCCTGGTCACTGCACCATAGCCCCAGAGAGAGACTCAGCCTTCCTTGCCCTCCTACAACAGGGGTCTAAGAAGGGCAGCGACATCACTTCAAGAGCCAAGGAGCTCCTGAAGGCAAGAAGTGGGTGGACTCAAGGCACAGCACAGCAAGTTGGAGGGAGGGCGCCACTCCTCCAACCTACAGCCTCATCTCAGGTACTAAACATGCCCTGGCCCTCCTTAACCACCAGCTAGACCCCTGTGATCAGCCTCTGTCATCGCAGTGCCGGCTTCCCACCTGTCTCAGTGCTGCACCTAAGGCTTCCATAGCTTGCCCTCTGCTTACTATATAGCACTGAGCTCAGGCTCTAGCATGGGCTCAGCAGCCAGGCACTAGAGACCCCAGCCAGGGGAAGGGGTGTACTCACTCGATTCCAGAGATGTAGTCATGCTGGGAAGCCAAATCCCACACGTGCCCCAAACCGCCCACCTTGGCTGACCCCACGATGATAACGGCAAGCTGCCCTAGGAACATGACCAGTGTCTGGAGCACATCTGTCCAGATGACTGCCTTCAGCCCACCCTGTAAGGAAAAAAAAGCATGCCTGATACAGGTGTCTTCAAAACCATCCACCAAAATCATTCACCAGTGAGGACACCATACTATCAGCAAGAGCACTAAATCGCTGCCTGAGGCATAGAGACCCTGTTGTCATTGCCACCCCATCCCCTACCTTCATATGCCATCCCCTCTCCTACATCCCATCCCCCACTATAATCCCATCCCACCTCCTACATCCCATTTCATTCCACTCTAGAATTTCATCCTACCTTCTCACCTATATCTTATCTCAACCCTTCTTTTCTTTTTCTTCCTATTTCCCCTCCTAAGACTTCTCCTCCCTCCCCTAAGACTTATTGCACTTACCAAAGCAGTATAGATGGTACAGACAAGGCCTAGGGTCAGCACTGACAGCCACAGATCAAAGCCAGTCACTGTAAAGAGATAAAAGTCACATTTCTGTCTCTGGAAAAGGGTTTCCCAGTGGAGACGCCAGAGAAACCCTGGTAAGACGTAAAGCATTTGATCGTAGGGATGAAATAAATCATTTACCACAATGGAAAAAAAAATATTTGCAGAGCTCCACCAAAAGGTGGTGATTAACCAATTCAGATGGGGCACAGCAATTTCAAGTGAAATGAAGCAAGCCTGCTTCCATCTCTGGTGGAGATCAGCCAAAGGCCCATGCAATAAAATAATTCTCAGGCCAAAGTCAGATTTTCTTCTGCACACTCTCTTCTATCTGCCCCTCCCAGCCTACCGGGGTTGGGAGCTCAGGGCTGTGACCCCTCACCTGCATTGAGGGCCAGTGATGGTACATAGAGCACAACTCCCATGTAAATCACCTGTTGGGTACAGAAAAGAGAAAGTAAGGGGAAGAGATGAGAGTGGGCAGAGAGAGGAGGAAAAATGGACCTCAGCTCCAGCGTCTCAACGGCCTCCCTTCCTTTCACCTAGGGTCACCTCCCTCTCCCTTCTTCCAAAATTTGGCTTGATGCCACCATAGTGTCTGTGCTGGAACTGGAAGGCAGGGGAAGCAGGATGCCTCTGGGGGCTCCAGTGACACCAACCTCAAGCAGGAATTTCAATCCTGCCAATTTGAGAGAATGGAAGGCTCCAGCTGCCTCAGCATATCTGAGCTCAGGTCCCCCGACCATTCCTCAGGCTCAATTTTTAGCCTTACTCCACTTACCATCTGAAAGATGAAGGTCACAGTCCCAAAGACTCGCACGGTTTTATTGAATCGAAGCTCCAGGTACTAGGTAGGAGTATAAATTTTTTTTAAAAGATATTTCTCCCCACTCCACGCCGCATAATTCCACACACAACTTCCTTCTAGAGGTCTAGGATACAGGGACTATCCAATTCATAACCACTCTGGGCCCAACTCAGCACAGTACCCTCCTTCTCTCCCCATGTGACCTCACCTAGAAAGAACCTATAAACACACAATGTGGTCCCTGTCACTCTCATTAGGCAGAGGCAACCCAGGAATCCCTTGTATGTGCCCTGCTCCTCCTCTCCATCCCTGACCCTGGGGGTCCTATGTGCTCCTCTCTTTCTCCCTGCTCACCTCATATGCACTGGTGAGATGCAGGCGGTAGAAGATAGGGATGAAGATGTGTGCAGGGATCAGCAGCCCCAGGAAATATGAGCAGCCCAGGAACCAATACTGGGTCCCAAATCGGTAGATCTCAGCTGGCACACCCAGGATGGCCACGGCTGACTGGAAGGTGGCCAGCAGGGACAGTGCCACAGGAAAGCAGCCCATTTTGCGGTCCGCCATCAGCAGCTGGCCAATGGTATGCCGGCCCCAGCCACGACAGGCATGGTAGAGCCCAATGGCAAGGGAGAGAACCAGAAGCAGGATGAAGACCACATAGTCCACAAGGGAGAAGGCAGATGTGACCATGCTTGTGTCTGAGGTTGGGGAGAGGGGAGCAGAGGTGGTCACCCCCACACTCATGTCTTCACTGTCTATGACCTGTAGCTGCTTGCTGCTCCTGGGCTCTGGGCTGCCACTTGGATAGGCAGTGACAAACAAGTGGCTACAATCTGGTTTTCAGCCAAGGTCTCACAGTCCTCCTTCACCAAGTGACATTGTCCAGGGTGACCTGCAAAGGAATGAGCTTCTAGTGAGGCCTATCGTGCCTTCATGGCTACTCACCCTTACTTAAGCCTGTGCATCCCACGCCCACCAAACTTGGACCGGCCAGCTCAGTGGCAGCCCTCGAAGGTCTGGAGGTCCTAGTATGGATTTGACAGGGGAAAATAAGGAGGAAGGAAGCAGTTGAGTGAGACAGCCAGGAGACAACTACTTGGCTGTGAATAGCTGTGAAATATGAGTCTTCTTGGGTCTCCACCTCATAACAAAAGAAAAATCAACTCTACTTCACGTTTCTTCTCAGATGATTTCCCTGCCCTCACTTTCAGGCACAGACCCAGTTACTACAATATACTAAGCCAGCAGAGCCCAACCCGGCGCCACAGCTCAGCAGGGAGGAAGAAATGGAGAATAATGACAGAATGGCTTCCTCTATTCCCCCGGCCTCAGACTCTACTTCCCATGACCCCCCGTTTCACCCTAATAGCACCCCTTTTCAGCACTGATTCCCAATAAGAACCCCTCCACGGCAGCCCCAAACTCCATTCCAGGTACCCCTAGGCCAACCACTCCATTCTCTGCAATGCTACCAGATAAGCCTTGCCACCCACCTCTCAGCTGTTCTACCTGTAACACCACAGTCAGCAGCAGA